CGGCCTTTGACGTTTCTCTTAAGATTCCATAATTAAGAGGAAAATAGGAATTTGTTTTCGTGTTCTCCGTCGTTAATGTTGCATCCAGGGCTTAACACCCGAATCCATCTCTCAGCAAAGGCGGAAAGACGGATCCAGTAGTCTTAACTCTCTCGCGAGGGGCAGCCACGAAAAGAGACTGGGGAGCGGATCCCTCTATTTTGGTCTCGGAGCCTATTAACTTTGTAACAAGGATGTGCCGCGTTTCTTGCGTTCCACCCGCTCGCGCCCCAGCCCCGTCCGAATCTCTTTAAATGGTCCTTAACTATCAGATTAGGATTGCCGGTTTTATAGTGTTATCTCCCCAGGGTCTCCCTCCGGTTTGATCCCCGTTCTCCTTCTTCAGCGCATTTTGATGGGTAAAGAGACAACTGGCTCTGATGGGGAGTTATCTAGTCCCTGTGAAATCAGGTATTTGCGGTTTATGTCCCAGAAAGTTAAGCTTAGATGGTCCAGGAGAAACAATGTATTTCTTATTATATGCTGAATCAAGGAAGGGGGCAAAATCATGCGTGATAGCTGCCTCCCTGTCTCCCCCCCACACACCCCGTTTACAGTCCACCGGTTCAACAGAAAATTGTGTGTTTAGTGATACGTAGGTAGTTCGGAATATTATCACAGAACCTAAAATGCCTTTAAGAATTTCCCGTGTCAGACATACAACTTTTCAAGAAGAGACAGGGAGAAGTCTTAAATTGGAGGAGTTAATCTGCGTGGACTTTGCGTGTGTGCCTACTGCTGGTTGCTTAAAATGTGTTCTCTCTTCGAGCCTTCAAACATATCAGAAACTATTTGTCTTCCTTGGGCAAAAAAAAAAAAAAAAGGATGGGGGGGGGGGGTAGGAATGGAAGGCTAAATCCATTTTGGGTGGGGGTGGGGGAGTACCCTGAAAACCTGGTGTGCATTCCCCCCCCCCGCCTTCATCTTCAAATGAATTAAAGACAACCAGACAATGCTGTCATCTCCCTTCAACGTCACATCGAGGAAAGGAATAATGATAACAGAGCAGCAGAAAGACGCCCACTGAAACCTGGAAGATGGCAAAGGGGGGTGGGGTGGGGGAGACAAGAACCCTTTGAAATTGTTTGAATTAGGCAGCTCGTGAGCAGGAAAGGCTCCAGCCTTTTGGGGTGAGGTGCTCCACCTGCTTTAGGCCACGACTTACGAGCATCCACCAACAGCCCGATCCTGTCCATCTGTATTCAGAAGGAAGTTCCCCTCAACACTTCCTCTCAGTTCAGAGGACCATAGGTCACTGGGCCGACGTTTGGGGTGAGGTGCTGACCACCTCTTCCTTTCCCATTTAAGAACTTCTGCCTGGATTACACCTCAACTGTTTCCCCCCTCCCTTACCCAAAAAGTTCTCTAGGACGATAAAGGGACCAACTGTTTGGATGACGACGACAATTCTGCAAATCAATGATTGTTTTATTATTATCAATTGGGAGTCGAATAGGTCCATCTCCCGCACGCGGCGATCCCCCTCTGTTTTTCTTACACTCGCCGCGCGGTGACCTAAGAGGGGAGATCTGGCGTAGAAAAACCACGGGGGCCACTTTCTTTCTCCCGGTCCTTCCGCGCCATCCTGAGGGCCACACCGGCCTCTTCCTGACTCCATCTCGTCTTCACTTCCTGCCTCTTTGTTTCCCTGCCCCCCCCTTCCCGCCCTGCAGGTTTCGCGCCGCTGAGCCCGGCCAGGCGGCGCTGTCCAGACCCTTCGGGCCAGGCAGCGAGATCAAAAACCTGGAGCCGCGGCCGTCGTCAGAGTTGTGGATGTGGTGCGAGGGTTGAGGGTCGTTGCTCCGTGCCGGCCCCAACGTGCGTCTTCGTCCACTTGGATCTGTCTTCACGCGTGCTTAACGTTGGCGTAGCTGGTTAAAGAGAGAACACGAGGACGCGGCCTGCTGCTGCGGAGACGAGAGGAGCGCAAGACCTCTCTGGCGGGGAGAAAGAAACCACATTTTGAACTTATTTAAAAGGAGGGTGGGAATAGGAGGGAAAAAAAGAGGCTTTGATGTAATCGGAAGAAAACAACTGCAGTATAAATGGATGGAAGCAAGATAACAGGAGATAAGATTTGGATAGGGAGGAAAAGAGGCAGACCTCCTCTGCTTTCTTGTTGGTTTGCTTCCCCTCCCCTCCCAGCAATCGCCTTTGTAATCCCATTCCGAAATTTGGGGGGTGGGGGAGGAGGCGGAGAAAACGGTATTTCCTCTCCGAAACAATTTGGGGTCACACGTCCCCAGGGCTGATGGCATCTTATCAGAGATTGCTTGTAATAGATTTCCTTTTCCCCAAGGTTTATAGTACAGTAGTTTTTGTCTCGGTTTTTCACAGGAAGATAAAAAAGTTTTAGGAAAACACAAAACTTCCGCAAGCCTAAAAATTCAGCCTTCCGAGGTGCAAGTGGTTTGCAGAAGCCAAAGCGCTTGAGCGTGGACGCAAAGTGTGATGTAAAAGTGTTTAATCCTCTCCCCGACCCCAAATACTTGACGCATTATTCACAACTGCTTACCTCTATTTAAGCAAACTCGAGTAAAACTTCCAAAAGGGAAGAAAGATAAACTGGTCATTATAATCCACGCCCTAAAAAGGATGAAAATTTCCCTAGGCCAATGGGGAAGTCCGGGGTTAAATTAACGCGACTGTGTTTCAAAGCCATTAATTAGAACGATAAAATAAATGATGGAAAAATTAAACCTCTAACAATGAATGATCCAGACCCTGAGGGGGCTGATCTATTCTAGCTTTCAGCTACCCCCACCCGAAACGGTTCCATCAGATAGATAGATGTTCAGGGGAAGTGAATGCGAAATCAGGGCATTCCCGCGGAACAGCCTCCCCCTTTTAAGGCAGTCCTGCTTGAATCCGACGGGCCTTCTGGAGGCCTGGCCCCGTGGGACGTAGGCGTTGGTTTCGACGGTAAAGAAATCTGCCAGACATCGACGCGAGGCGAAACCGAAGCAACCGACATCGGGCGCCTGCCTTTTTCCCGTCGAAATTTCGCCACGGGGTTTCCCCCCGTTTCGATTCTGGGTGAACCCTCCCGATTTGGCGCAGCGTTCTAGTAAAGCTTCCCACGGCCAGTTAAAGGCCTACACTGTACATTTCGTGGGGCACAAGCTTTCCTCGGCTGCATCTCTCCCATCTCCGCCCACCAACAAATGGATCACGTTTCACCGGATCTATATTCCCTGCTTTGGGCGTCTTCCTTAAAGAAGTTAAGCCATGTGTAAAAAATGTGACAGAAAAAACCCTTCCCATGTTGCCGTAACCTGTCACCCGTATAATAAAAATGGGGACACTAGTTATTTCGATTTTCACGGAACATTTGCTTATCGGCTGCTTAATATTCGTGGATTTTGTCTAGGGGTGGGAGGCGGAAAAACAGGAATGGAATCTGCTGCTTAATTAAGATGAAGATCAATTGAACGGATGTGTTGTTGGCGGTATCGGTAAGACCTGGTCAAACAAAGCTACAGTACTTTTAAATCCCATCGGGAAGGTGGTAAGTGCCAGGTTAACTCTCCCGCTCAAACGCACAGGACTGGGTTGCGTTTCAGTGAACTCTGATGATCCCTTGACCTTCGTGGGCGCTCAACTCGCTTCTTTGCATATGACCACCCTATGAGTTCGTCGTCGTCGTTTAGTCGTGTCCGACTCTTCGTGACCCCATGGACCACAGCACGCCAGGCCCTCCAGTCTTCCACTGCCTCCCGTAGTTGGGTCAAATTCCCAAATAACCCTATGAGTTATCGACCTCCAAAAGGTACGATCCTTAACCCACCACCCGATCAGGTGTTGCAAACTCCTGGCCCTCCTTCCTTTATTGAGTTAATTTATGTTCGGTCCTCTGCTTTCGCTGCTGAGAAGGTTTTGGTGGTACACTTAGTTTGACATCCAGCCTCTCTGATGTCAAACAGGCCTGCTTTTTGGGAGGGGGGAGCCCAATACCAACGCACGAAAACAACTAAGGCAGACTCAAAATTAGTCAAGAATTCTGTTCCCCTCCTACAAAGCTCAGAAGCCCATAGCAAAGGAAGGCCTGGCCTACCTCCCAGGGTGATTATAATGTGGGAATGGGGTAGAGGGGAGCCATGGACTCCGCCTTGGAACTCGTTGAGAGAAAGGCGGGTCCCAAAAGGGGCAAATGAAAAAGAAGACCTCACCACGCAAGCAATATCCCGCCGTCGCGGGTGGGTCCCTCGGATATTTCCTCCTTCCTCGTCGCTCCCGCCCTCCATGGAAAGGATGGCTTTCCACGCGCTTCTCGCAGCTGTTGGGAGGGGGCTGTCAGAGCTATTGACAGGATTTACATTTCAGGCCCAACTCATAGCCAGAACTCGGAAACGTCCCCTTTCTGGCTAGAGGATTCTGGGAGTTGTAGTCCAGTAAGGCAAACGTCCCGGGCTTTCAGCACAAGTCTAACCCTGCCTGTATATTTCACAAGGAGGGAAAAATCGGAATCCTGGAAGCTACGAGGGAGCCTTGGGACAAGGAATCCAAGGAAGGGATTTTCGGCCAGTGCGCGCCGATCCGGAGGCGCAGGCTTGGCCGTCGGGCGAGGCTCGCCTTGTCCTGAAAGGTCGAAAGAAAGGCCCGACCCGTCGCACCGGGAAGCTCCCGCCGCCTTGACGCCGAGGGCCAGCCGGGCGAGGGCCCGCGCCTCCTCCCGCGCAACGCCCGTTCCTTGCCTCGGGACGTGCGCAGGACAACGTCCCGCTCCGTTTGGTGCTCCAGCTTCGTGAGCAGAGATGCCCGAGGCGTCGGAGTAGAGGACAGGGTCTGAGCAACGGGCGGGTCTGGTTTAAAAAAAAGTGAAAGAAATGCCTAAAGACGCGCTGTTAATACCTCTTCAGCCCCGAGGGTTACTCTCCTGCGGCCCACGCTTCCCTCAAGGAGCGGTTCCATTTCCACGTATCCCATCTTCTCGTCCTGGGAGCGGTACTATTTCGCGCTGGAGAAGGCGAGGTTTCCCTTTGCAGCGAGTGCCTTGGGCCGTGGAAGGAGTGTCCCAGTACTTACTTACTTACTTACTTACTTATTACTTACTTACTTACTTACTTACCCATTTGTTCATCGTAGCTGAAGGGTCCGGGAGATGCCATTTCAGTAGGATTTGGATAAGTTGTTTTAGAAGTAGGAAATCTGCTTGTTGGGAATTCCGCCCTGGGAGCTAGACAGCTCAGGGGCTGAAGTGGAGGTGGCCCAGTTTTCTCATCTCCTGTGGACAACCTCTGTGGTCAGTCCTTCGGTTAGGGTGCGTGTGTTGGGACCTTAGGCCCTGGGGCTGAAATCCGGCCAGTCCAGCCCACTAGGGTTTCTCAGATGGCCATACCGCCTTCCCTATGACACTTCTGGTTAGTGTTGCCTTAGCTTTTCTCCTCCCCTTCTCCTCATTTCTGAAATGCCTCGTCTGAGGCTTTGTTGGCATTAGTAAGAGCCTTATGCTGAAATCTGCTGCCCTTTTTGGCTCTATCTTTCCCCACAGGCCTTGCTCGCCCCAGAATTTCTCTGCAACCAACCTTGCAGAAGCCCAGAAAGGAATAGGTTTGTGTAGAATGTTTTCTGCAGAATGGGATAGATATCCCACTGTATCACAAAATAGCATAACTGCGAAGGATTAATAAACTGAAATCTCTCTCTCTCTCTCTCTCTCTCTGTGTGTGTGTGTGTGTGTGTGTGTTGGTGAATATTTGATTAGGCTATAATTCAATTTTAAAAAAAACCCACATCTTGGCATTCTGGCCTAAATTCATGTGTTTGTCACAACTAGAGTAGACCCATTTGACCACGAAGGACCATTGTGGAAAGGTAAGTCAATAAATGCAATGGTTATGTGTCATCAAGTCTCAACACATGTAATTCCCCTTCATTCAGTAGATCTACTCTAGTTGGTATTAACAATCAGATTTAGGCCTCTGCCCTTCCTTGTTCAGTGGGCAGTGCTTTCATGGCTTCAGTAACTGGCTTCCTAATTAAGCTGTCCCTATCAAATCATGTAAGGTCGCACTGTATGTGGCCTTCACAATGTCTGTGCTATGCTCAGACAATACAGTCTTTCTCCCAGTTATTACATTAACTACAACTGCAACAGAAATCCAAAACGTTACAGCATGGTTGGTGTCCAGTGAGGGCTGGGATGGTGGTGGATCAGGCAGGACTCTTTCACCTGCGCTCTTTCCCATTTGATTGGTAACCCAGACTGAGGCATGTGGCCACTGGCATGGGTCAAAGACAGCATTGATGCTGGCCAGGTCATGGAAGCCTAGAAACATTCGTGGGCACCCAGTGTCAGGCAGATCCTAGAAAAGAATCTCATCACTTAAAAGCAAAAATAAAAACACCAATAAACAGGAAAATTCCCAGGCACACAGACAGAAATTTTGAACTGGGTGGCATGACTATAATGATGGCAGCCAGCAGAGTTCAGTAAAAAGCTGGTGAGATGCAATATGGACAAAAATGTTATTCACTAGGCTCCATATCTTACAGCAGAAAACAAATACAGTATGCAAGCAGATGGGGAAATGCAGCCTGCTGACATCAGGGGCCCGTCTAGCCTTTCCTCTGAAAATAGAGATAAGATGCATGTGTCAGATGGCAGGGCCCCCCTGTGCACCCACCTCCATGGCTTTAGTCCTTGAATTGCATCTGTAAGTTGCAGTCATAAGTATATTTAGTAGTGTGCAGCTGGAAGGTCTACCTCAGCTTGAAATTCTGCCTACGCAGGCTCCTAGCTTTTTGATCATTCTGTCCCCAGAGCCCAAGATTTTGATGATAACCAGAAATGCTTTTCTCTAATTCTGTCTGCCAAGAAGACTGCATTGTTCAAATCTCCTGTCCCTGATTCTGATCTGATGGTGCCATTACACCCACACAATTTCTTAAACAAGGAGTTTTCCATGGAATTGACTGTGGTGACTTTTCACAAGGTATGATTTGGGGTTCCATGACTGCATATTCCAACATCTAAATTGGCTTTCTCTAGCAAGCTTAAACTGGAATGTGCGAAAGAGTGGCCCAGAGGCATCCACAGTGCTGGACCCATCATTACAGTGAATCTATGGACTAGTGTTGCTAAGGGTGAGTCTTCCAGGACCAAGAAAAGTGGCTTAAAGGAAGATGAGGTCTGGACAATTCCTTTGATAAATTGGTTGGTTTTAAATGGTGTTTCTATAATCTACATATTAACTGAGAAGTGAGGCTCACTGAGGTCAAAGGGACTTAGCCTCATACACCTACTTAGGATTGCATCCTAATCATCAATCTTTATCAGTGGTGAAATGGATAATGGTGTATAAGTATCTCGAAAAGACATCTTGTGAACCATATAGATCTTCACTCAGGATAAACAGTGGAAAGATGTTGTATAGAAGGATCCCCCAGACCAGGAGAGGGGGAATTCCTGGACTACAGGCTCTATCTGACCTGCAGGCAGATGAAATGGTGGGTCCAGAGATAGAGTGAGCATATTAACTCATTCGGCATATGAGTTAATATGCACTAAAGATATTTTAATCTTACTTTTTAATGCAACTCTTCCTCAAGGCTGAGACTGTCCCTAACAATCCTTCTGGGCAGTAGGGATGCAAGGGGAGAGATTCGAGGGCTGCAGAGTGGTTTGTTTACACAACTCCCATATACTGTGGTGTATACAAGATACTACAGTGTGTACAATACAATGCGACTGTGTACATTAAAGTAATAAATCTGGGACTGGGGAGATGTATTTAGATAGTTGTTACATTTATGTCCTGCTTTTTTCTGCAGTGGGCTCCAGGCAATGCACTTGGTTCTTCCCCTCTCCATTTCACCCACACAACTTCTGAATCAGGTAGGTCAGGCTGAGGGGATGGAAATGGCCTAATGTCACCTGTGAGTTTCATGGCCAAGTTGGGATTTGAACCCACTTCTCCCGATTCCTAGTCGAACTTTCTAATCATTCCACCACACTGGTTCAACAGGGCCTTCTTCTCCACTACCCATAGTCCCAAGTGCTCACGGCAGTTTATATAATGGAAGCATAAAGTGCAGTCTGTAACTAGAGGGTTTTTTTTCTGTTTCTTTCTTGACTGTCTCTTTCTTTCCACCCATGTGGCCACCTACTCTGCCCTCCACTCTCTCATTTTCTCTCTTTCTTCGGTTCCTTCCCTCCAACATTGAGTGTTGGAGCCTTGCTCTGTAATCACCCTGATCCTGTACATACCTATCTAGCCCTCTGCAGTGTGTGAAGCTGATCCTGGCGTCCATCCAACAAAAGAGACCACCTTGGCAAGGAAGTTCAAGCGAAGAGGATCTGGGCAGGTTGCAGTATTAAGTGCCTCCTGAAAATGGACAAGGGATATACTGGGAAGCCCTGTCCTACAGTCTGAAAAACGCTCTGCCCTAGAGATGTCGGGTGCAACCTTTTGCAGTGCAACAAGTTAACAAGAGGAGCGTGTAACTGTTTTATTTAATATGCAATATCGGGTCAACCTTGTTGACTATTAAAACAGCTTTATACAGAGTCTGGGGTTTAGTCTTAGTCTGACAGTCAAAACGCCTGCGTCTGCATTCTGTACCACTTGGAAGATACCAAATCTTGGCAACCAACCCAATTTGAGTATCTATTGTTGCCCCTCCCTCTACCCTAGCTGGGACAGGATGGTGCCATGTAGGCTTTTAGCTTTAGTTGTTTTTTTGCTTTTTTTTTTTTTTGGTCCCTCTTCCTATTTCCCATCCTCCACTGGATCCCATTTTCTGACTGAAGGGGTCTAAGCAACTCTGAAATCTTCAACAGAATTTTTGTGTCTGTTCTCCACCCCACCCCAGGCTAGCTGATTAAAGGTATTGTACCCACAGTGGAGTTTGTTTGTTCGTTTATTTATTTATTTTATTATTAGACTTTTACCCTGCCCCCCTAGACAATGTCTACTCGGGGTGGCTTACGTGGATAAAAAACACAACAATATGACAAATATAAAAATCATCTAAGACACAGTTTTAGCACTTATTTCTAAACAGCATATTACCAAGATGACATAACTCAAGGAAGAAAAATGAGGATCAATTAAGTGACTGGAGGGAAGGCCTGCCCGAAGAGCCAAGTTTTTAGGTTTTGGACTTTATTTCATTGGCTCCTTTTAGGGAGAAAGGTGGGGTAAAAATATTTGAAATAAATCAATATTAAAAGGTTTGAGAAGAAGCACATAGACCACTTCCATTTTCTTTCATATTCTCTGGAGTTATTTTCCCTCCTCACTTTATTCTGTTTTTCTGTCACTCAGGTAGAAACTGGTTGCCATGTTTCAAAAGGGCAATCTCTTTTCTCCGATCATCTAGAAAGACTGTGAACTCTTGGATCCTGGCCCTTTTGAAAATCTTGCTAGGAACATCCGGAGACAGTTCTTTTTTCTGCCTCACTTCTTTCCTTTCAGTGTTACAGTAGGTGCTTTTCTGTAGTGAGTCAAATGATTCATACATAGTTTTGTGTAAGAGTAAAGTATCCAGGCACTTAGAGCACAGCTGAGTGATTTATCATGGGTAGAAACTGTCATTTAGAAAGTCACCATGAAGATGGATGAGAGGAGGATACAAAACCATCTAACTTGGAACTATGCAAGCAAAACAAAGAACAAGTGAATATAAACATTTCCTATATCAAATACCAATCCATTTGGGTAAAACGTCCCATTGGCAATATATTTAAAAGCTAGTTCATGAGGCTCTTATCTTTATTTAGTCATGTTGTACAAAGTAATAGGATGGAGCCAAGCCAATGATGGGCCAAATCTGACAAAAAGCAGGAGGCATGTGGAAAGAAATGGGTGTACCTCAGTGCTTGATTGGTTTGACTTGTATTGTGGAAAAGGAAACTATCATTAGGAGAATATGGAGAGTTGGTTTCCTATAGGCAAAGATGTCAGACAAAGGTGCTTTTTATCCCCTTGTCAGTTCAATCTGTACACAGAACATATCATATAGAAATCTAAGATAGATTCAGATGAACGAAGAGTGAAAATTGGTGGAACCTAGACGAAGCTCATACACACTCTTCTACTCCCGATCACGATTTATGGTTGTGAAAGCTGGACTGTAAAGAAAGCTGACAGGAAAAAAATGGGTTCTTTTAAAATATGGTGCTGCAGGAGAGCTTTGTGGATACCCTAGACTGCCAGAAAGACGAACAAGTGGGTCCTAGATCAAAGCAAGCCTGAACTGTCCCTGGAGGCAAACCTGTTGAAACAGAGGCTGTCCTACTTTGGGCACATCATGAGAAGGCAGGATTCTCTGGAGAAGACAATAATGCTGGGAAAGATGGAAGACAGGAGAAAAAGAGGAAGAACAAATGCAAAATGGACTGACTCTCTAAAGGAAGCTACGGCATTGAGTTTGCAAGAGATGAGCAGGGCTGTTGAGGACATCCCTTTTCCTTTGTGAACAAAAAAGCAGTTTGGGTGCTTTTAAGCAAAAAATAAATAAAATAGGGTGATGAGAAAGGAATTTTTCACAAAGTTCTCTTTTTTTAAAGCATTGGGAGGTTTTTTTTTAAAATTGCACTTTTGTATATATAATGTCTTGTTTAACTTGGCTCTAGGATGCAGAGAGGAACCAGCTGACATCTCAGAGACAAAGGTCACCAGCATTGGGGAAGAAGAGAAAATGCCTAGAAAGGATTGCATCGAAAGGACTACGAACAGCACTGAAGTGGCATTTCAAATGACAGTGGGGAAATGCAGATAGAAGGGCAGTGCCATGCAGAGATGATGTGCCTCAATTATCCCGTAAGTTCCATGAGGCAAAATATGTGGGTTGCAATCCAGATCCTGTCTGGATTGATGTAGAGAAGACCCTGTCCTTTAGAGGAAACAATGGGGTGGGTGGGCATGATCAGTCCATCATCCAAGCAGCCTCTTTGTTTTCTCCCACATAAGCAGAGGTACTTTTTTGTATCAGAACTCCCAAGAAACCCCAGCTAGTGCAGCCAGTGGCCATCACCATAGCTCAGTGGATAATCCAGGTGTTCTTGGACTGCAGGTCCCAGAAGCCTTGACCACCAGCTGTGCTGGCCAAAGTTTTGGGGAGTTGCTATCCAAGAACACTTGAGTTGCCCAAGGTTGGGAGCCACTGCTCAAAACTCGGTCACCATTGCAAGATAAAGTACACTTCTTCCCAGAAGTTCCTGTAATAAAAGCAATGCATGAAAAGAGGAAACAATGCCACTCACAAGGTGGAAAACAATTACTGCATGATAACACAAAAGTCTATTGTTTTATTGTCTCTTAAATGGTGTAGTCATTTATCCAACAGCATCCAAGCCTTATTGTAGCACACATCAAAGATGATGGACTTTTATTTCCTTTTCAAATGCAGATTCCACTGATATTTCTTCTTGTTGCTGTCTGTTACATTCACAAGCCAGAAGGGAGGAGACAGTGGCAGTAAATGGCTAGGATGTTTCTTAAAAAGTGGGAAGGAAGGAAGGAAGGAAGGAAGGAAGGAAGGAAGGAAGGAGGAAGGAAGGAAGGAAGGAAGGGGGAAAACATACTTTCTTATAAGAGAATGTGGCTGCATTGAAATCATTGCACTGAAATGATCGGGAGGTGCATTCAAACTGTATTTAAGTACAAGCTATGCCGAAATGGGTGGGTGCAACATAAGATTGCCCTAGTAATTCCAATAGGGCTTTGCATGTGTTTGTACAGGAGAACATACTGTACTGGCAAATCACATTCTCTTTAAGCCATGCTTTTGGGTCCATGCAGAAAGACAGGAATGGAGAAGTGGCTGCTGGTACTCATTCTGCTTGGTGGGGTAGATGGCACAGGAAACAATGGTGAGCAGAGCCAGAAAAGGCAGAGAGAGACTGGAGGAAAAGTGAAGTGGGTATTAATTCTCTCTCCCTCTTTCCTTCCCTTCCCCCCCCCCCCGCCTCTCCCAACTGAGGGTGGTCCTAAGCTTCCCTGAGAAGGGAGTCAAAATGAATCTGGCTGTGAAATGTAACCTGTAGGAAAGGGAGAGACTTGTTTATCACTTAGGCCTGGAGCTCAAGGAGCTGCAGGCCTAAGGAGCCTAAATCCATCACAGTTAGATAAAAACAAATTTTTATGTCCAGGCAGCAACAGCAATAAGATAGATTAGGTGGACTGAAGATGGGCCCAGACTAAATAGCCCTGATGCAGAGTTTGTTGTAAGAAGAGAAGCAACAAGGAAGGCTTTAAGGGGCAATTCTGGGCAAAGCAGGTGGCCTGTTCTTGTCACAGAAAGAACTCCAAGCAGACCAGGGAAAAAGTTCAAACAGTGACTGGGTCCACTTAAGAGACAATAAATGTGGGTCTGTCGTGCCATTTGGAGAAAGGCAGGACATGGAGAGTCTTCACTGTGACTCTTGAGCCTTCTTGGCAGCAGTGTTTTAGGTACTGAAAAAATATCTCCTGCGGGCTGGTGGTGAAACTTCTATAACTCCCAGCAACAGTAAATAAGAGTTAGAGAAGGGGCATAGAGGTATTTAAAAGGAAGGAGGCCATGCTCAGCTAACAGCAGTGGAAAACTACTTTGGGCATGTAACAACAGCTGAAGACAACCAGGGGTCCAATGGACCACAGTAACTAGAAATTCTCCTTTGTTGCTGACTGACCACTGCTGGTTTTGCCATCTCCACCCAAAGTTCTGGAGGCAGTATGAATGGAGCCTGGAATTGTGATTTATCCCAGGTTGATGAGTTCACTGTCAGTTCAATTTTTAAATGTGATGTCATGTCAGGTGCTTTATGTTTTGTTAACCATTACAAGAGAGATGGATGGTAGTGACACATTCCGCCCAATATATAGTCTTGAGTTTAATTTTATCATGGGAAACCATGGATATAATTCACACTATTTTGAATCAGTATCTTTACTTCTGAAGGCCCTACCAAGTTCTGAACAACACTCTGTTTCCAGTTCTGCAAAACCTGAGCATGTGCTTCATCTCACCATGTGAGCAACAGGGAATCCATGATACAGAATAGAGCCATCATTCAATGGGTATGCGCAACATAGGCTGCTTCTTTCCCTCCTCTTCCCTCTTGGAATGGAGATGCTGTGCTCTGCACACTGGTAAGGCCAGAGTTGAGAAAAGTTACTTTTAAAACCAGAAGTCCCAGAATCCTATAAGCAGCACCTACTATTTCAGCAAAATCCTCAAAATCCTACAAGGTAGGCTTCGGCAGTATGTGGACCGAGAACTCTCAGAAGTACAAGCTGAATTTCAAAGGGGCAGAGGAACTAGGGACCAAATTGCTAACATGCACTGGATTATGGAGAAAGCCAGAGAGTTCCAGAAAAACAGCTACTTCTGCTTCATTGACCAAGCAAAACCCTTTGACAGTGTGGACTACAACAAAATATGGCAAGTTCTTAAAGAAACAGAAGTGCCTGACCACCTTATCTGTCTCCCGAGAAATCTATATGTGGGACAGGAATCAACAGTTAGAACTGGATATGGAACAACTGACTGGTTCAAAATTGGGAAAGGAGTACGACAAGGCTGTATATTGTCCCCCTGCTTATTTAAATTATATTCAGAATACATCATGGGAAAGGCAGGACTGATTGAATCCCAAACTGGAATTAAGATTGCTGGAAGAAATATCAACAACCTCAGATATACAAATGATACCACTCTGATGGCAGAAAGTGAGGAGGAATTAAAGAACCTCTTAATGAGGGAGAAGCAGGAGAGCGCAAAAATGGTCTGAAGCTCAATATAAAAAAAACTAAGATCATGGCTACTGGTCCCATCACCTCCTGGTAAATAGAAGGGGTAGATATGGAGGCAGTGACAGACTTTACTTTCTTGGGTTCCATGATTACTGCAGATGGGGACAGCAGCCGCGAAATTAAATGACGCCTGCTTCTTGGGAGGAAAGCGATGACAAACCTTGACAGTATCTTAAAAAGCAGAGACATCACCTTGCCGACAAAGGTCCGCATAACCAAAGCTATGGTTTTTCCAGTAGCGATGTATGGAAGTGAGAGCTGGACCATAAAGGAAGCTGACTTGTGGTTTTGAATTGTGGTGCTGGAGGAGACTCTTGAGAGTCCCCTGGACTGCAAAAAGAACAAACCTATCCATTTTGAAGGAAATCAACCTTGAGTGCTCACTGGAAGAACAGATCCTGAAGCTGAGGCTCCAATACTTTGACCATTTCATGAGAAGAAAAGACACCCTGGAAAAGACCCTGATGTTAGGAAAGTGTGAAGGCAAGAGGAGAAGGGGACGACAGAGGACGAGATGATTGGACAGTGTCATCGAAGCTACCAACATGAATTTGACCCAACTCCAGGAGA